TAGGATAGGAGCTTTAAGAGGAAACACCTGGAATCAAGCACTCTTGAACTCTTATTGTCTGCACAGTTAAATTAAAATGGTACTCATACATGGGACAATATCAAGAACCCTTTCCATCCCTGACATCCCTCAAAAGTAAAGAGACTACCTTAAAATTTTGTTGCCACCACATCCATCTGGGTAAGATCATCAATTATCTCCCCATCGGAGTTCAAAACGCTCTTAATTTTGCTTCTATGTCTTCTCATATTAGTCCTTTGGTGGAAGAAATGTGTGTTCTAGTCCCCTGCAACTAGCCATTCAACTTAGGATCTTTGCTTCCACGTGGTTTCTTCGTGATCATACATCTCCAGCAAATTATCATTGATCTTTATCTCCAAATGATCTTGACCAACTTGGTCGAGGAGGCTTTGGAGACATTCCAATACTGATTTAAGTTCCATAATATTTTTTCTAACACTTTCGAAAGAATTTATTTCCCACTGCCCAAGATCGCATGAGAGCTTGGAGCTTCCCTTTAACATCAAGACAATAGAGTCACACTGGGTGCCATGGCTCTTCGTTCGAAAAGGCGACCCCTAGGAGGCGCTTAGGTGCAAGTTATGGCACAATGCCTTGCCTAGGGTGTAACTAGTAGTCTAGGCAGTGCAAGCAAGGAAATGTCCATTCCAGTGAAAAATTGTACCATATTACACTGGTAGGCCTAACAGGTCATATTTTGATGGAAGTAGGTGATAATTTACTCATTTACATGTTACTAAACTTAATTCTATGCACATATAATACCCAAAATCGCCCTCAGCATTCAAAATAGCAAAACCACCTAAGCCACGATTTGGGTGCTTAAGCGTCGCCTAGGATCTAGGTAATGGCCAACTGCCTCACCTATGCCTATAGCTTTTTCCAACCTTTCCATGCACCGATTACAACCTTCCTTAGCTCGGGATGTGACCCCCACATAGCTTCATACTGAAATGGTTAAGTGGGGGTGGTGAAGATTCTGGTGTCAGCTTCATCAAGACATAATTGGATGATAGAATGGCTAGAGCATGTCATCACTCCATAGAAAATAACATGCTCCGCAACTCTAGTCTAGGGTCATCAGGGCCATGTCAAGCCGCATACGATTTTATGTATCGCTTACCACCTTGTTTTCAAAAGTGCAATTTTTTAATCTATAACCAAGGTCTTGGAAAGCATAATCATACACTGTTTCTCTAAAAGGTCATCCATTTGCACCTAACTATTTTTGTCGGCTGCTTCATACTCACCATGATTGTAAACTTCATTGGCTCGTTGAGGGCAACACAAGGAAGATTGCTAATTGAGGCGAGACCTTTGTTACCGTCCTAGTTCTTATATGTGATAGCCTGGCTTATTAGGGATGATAGACTACTCATATCAATAAGGAATTCCTTCTTTTCTGGGAGCCCATTCTGACAGAACTCCAAAGTTAAGTGTGCTCATCTTGGAGTAGTTTCAGGATGGGTGACCGACCGGGAAGTTACTCCCGGGTGCGCACGAGTGAGGACAAAGTGCGCAGAAAAGACTAGTATTGATCTGTGGGGCCAGTCTAGATCCCGCCAAGAGTAACGACCACCGGCGGGTGTGTCCGGGGCGTTAAAAGTTGGTATCAGAGTCGACCCTCGCGGTTACACGGATGGTTGCGGACAGGTGCGCGGTCATGTTGTTCATGACATTTGTGACCTGTCGTGGCACCCGGCATGGCACATGTACTGGACTGGAAGCACATCCGTTTGTGCCAAGAGGGAACGTTCCTATGGCCCGACGAGGACGACGGTTCCTTTGAGTGGGGGTGTATGTGATAGCCTGGCTTATTAGGGATGATAGACTACTCATATCAATAAGGAATTCCTTCTTTTCCGGGAGCCCATTCTGACAGAACTCCAAAGTTAAGTGTGCTCAGCTTGGAGTAGTTTCAGGATGGGTGACCGACCGGGAAGTTACTCCCGGGTGCGCACGAGTGAGGACAAAGTGTGCAGAAAAGACTAGTATTGATCTATGGGGCCAGTCTAGATCCCGCCAGGAGTAACGACCACCGGCGGGTGTGTCCGGGGCGTTACATTATACCTCTCTAGAACTTGAGCATCACCATACACAAGAGTAAGGTGCTAAGGTTTAGATCCAACATCCTCAATCTTTGCATCTATGTGGTACTCAGAATAACACAAAACTTCTAGCTTTACTGAATTGTTTCAATACAAACCAAGAATACCGCTCCTACCGGAGCTACTAACGGCAAAACTACTATCAAACCCAGAGAAGGGGATAAAAGTTTGGCCAATGCTTTACTAATTTGTGTTTCAACAATTCCTAGCATGGATGGGGCTACCTTTCTCATGAAATCACGAAGCTCTCGAAATGTCGCTTGATGGCCCACACCATGACTGTTCCACATCAGAATATTCATTCTATCCAGCTGTACTCCTTGAGAGATCCTGCCGACCACACATTAGTGCATTTGTTTTTCCTCCAAATTCCTGCTTCTGTTATTCTCTGAGTTTGCGACTATCTTAGAGTGTTTGGATCACTCTTTAGGGAAGGGCTTAGCGGCAGAAGAGGCGTTGGAACTGCAAGAGTTTGGTTTCTGGCCCCAATAGCTTGGGTCCCGTGCCGAGCTGGACCAATAACCTTGGTTGAACATCTCTTCCTTTTTAGATCAACATCATCCATATTAGCACCAGTGTTCTCACATTTTGACCACTTCAGCACCCTAGCATTGCACCCCTTCCACGGAATGATCCACCCACATGTCTTCTAACAGGACCCTGTCCTCGGTCAACACACATGAATGAGGTGACACTGAGGTTCCTCAAGACCAAACCCTATGATGGATGGACACACCATCACCATGCTCCTTATGAACATGCCCAAGATTCCTGCAAAATGGTGCACCAATATGTAAGTCTTTCGTATTTTACACGAAATATCTAGCATTTGGTATCCCTCACCAGAGAGTCGTCATTCTTGAGTGGTTTGTTGACATTGATCTTGACGCAGACTCTAAAGAATAAGCCCCTGAAGTGATGTGATGATGGTTCTACATAGATAATTCTCCCACTTTCCCCATGAATGATTTCAGAAGGGGGGCACATCCATCTAACACATCATGGATCTGAATCCAAATTTCAATGGCACAAGCTTGATCAACGAAGGCTTAGTGAAGTCATCATAGGAAGCCAACAAAACTACATTGCTTCGGAGGGTCCAAGGGCATCCCACCATCACTATTTCCTAATCACCATGAAAAGAATATTGTAAGATGAACAAATTATCCTCCAGAGGCCAGATCTTGACGCCCTGAGCGAGGTCGCAAGCAGTTTAAGTGTTTTCGAAGGACCAAAACTGGGTGAAGGGTTTGATCATATGAACTCTTGCTAAAGCCATCCACTGAGAGGTTTATGTTGGCGGCACCACCCCCTGCACGAAGACCACATCATCTAGGTCTTCCTCCCTTAGGCCAAGTTAATTCATTATGGCCTCTACCTCGCTCACATCCTCACCAGATCCCGATGCCTGATCTGTTGGGTCACGTAGTATTTCAAAAAAGATTCCTACGATCACACAAGATCTATCTAGGAGAAGCATAGCAACGAGCGGGGAGAGTGTGTCCATGTACCCTCGTAGACCGAAAGCGGAAGCGATTAGTAACGCGGTTGATGTAGTCGAATATCATCACGATCCAACCGATCCAAGCACCGAACGTACGACACCTCCGCGTTCAGCACACATTCAGCTCGATGGTGTCCCTCGAGCTCTTGATCTGGTTGAGGACGAGGGAGAGTTCCGTCAGCACGACGTTGTGGCGACGGTGATGATGATGTTACCGGCTCACCTAAGCACTACGATGATATGACCTAGGTGTGTAATTGTGGAGGGGGCATCGCACACGGCTAAGAGAAGACTTGGTGTGCCTTTGGGGTGCCCCCCTCCCACGTATATAAAGGGGGGAGGAGAGGTGGCCGGCCCAAGGAGGGGCGCACCAAGGGGGGAGTCCTACTTGGACTCCCGGTCCAAGTAGGATTCCACCCCCTCCTTTCCTTTTCGAAGAAGGGGAAAGGGGGAAAAGAGAACGAGGAGAAGAAGGAAAGGGGGGTCGCCCCCACCCCCCAAACCCTAGTACAATTCGGTTTGGGATTAGGGGGCGTGCGCCTCCACTTGGTCGCCTGCCTCCTCTCTCCTCAAGGGCCCATGAAGGCCCATTAACCCCCAGGGGGTTCCGGTAACCTCCCGGTACTCCGAAATTTTTTTGCCATTAACGGCACGACGTCACTATTGCCGGACAGCGAGGGATCTGACAAGGGCTCAGTGTTTTTGCCATTGTAAAATTTTTGGTTCGGTGCAAAATATCATGAAACATAACGTGATGGCTTTGTGCATTTCACTCAAGTGATGGTTTTGTGCATTTAACTCCTCGACAAGGCCTTGTCATCTGGCGTATGCAGGTTCTACAAAAGATTTCATACGCTCAGTTCCGTATTTATTTTGTGAAATACTCCCTCCTTTGACAAATAAGATGTTCTGGATATAGACTATATATGAACTAAAATGAGTTGAGTGAACAAATAAACGGTTAAAAAAGTTAGAACACCTTATATCTTATATTTGTGAACGGAAAGAGTATTGATTTTGCTTTGCTTCAAGCACCTTACAAGCAACTGAACTCCTTAAATGAGGAAGCTCATCGTAGTTACATAGATCACCTGGGTGCCTGCAACGGAACTAGGTTCGCATTTTTGGAACGCATCAATTAATCCACCACAGCCTCACAGCAGAAGATTCAAAGCTAGTACAGTGTATATAGAATCAAGTAAAAAGAAGAGAGGCAGATGCACTATATGTAGCTTGAAATTAACTATGAGCCCTTACAGATTATTTCGTTCGCCTACACACACAGCGATACTACTACGTACGTACGTGTTTTGAGTTTTGACCCGTCATCGAGTAGCCAAGCCAGAGCAGCCAGGGATCCTCTCGGCTCAGCGCGGGAAGGCAGCGATCTCGACGCCCTTGTTGCCGAGCGAGGGCATGGGTGCGTCGTAGGCGCTGAAGAGGCGGTAGGACGAGATGAGGGAGAGGAGGATGTAGCAGACGACGGAGCCGAAGGTGATGGCCACCGACGTTCGGGCCTGCCTGCAGAAGCCGCCGAACACGCCGCACGCCTCGCTCCACGTCACCTCCTTGTCGCCGTTGTACGCCAGGTAGAGCAGCTCTGCCGACGCCGCGCCGGCCGCCAGGATCAGGTACGTGAACACCTGCATCCATCCACGCATCTTGCGGGTTAATTAGCATGAATAAATGGCCACCTGTTTCCCGTCACTGTGCAAGTTCTACAGTACAGGGAAGCTAGGATCTGGTGGTCGAAGTCGTTTGAGGGTGGACAAATCAATACCAACACTGACAGGTAAATTATGTCCGGGGCTAGCGTTTCTGTTTCTACCATGACCTAATTTCTCTGCTGTATAAACACTCACTCCAACTATCTTATACGGAGTAGGATCTTTATATGAAAATTAGTAGATGACTCCTCTGTTCTAAAGCGGTTATTAGCCGGAACAAATCAAAAGTCTTACAAAATAATTCTAGTCATAAAACCTACTGATATACTATATCCTCTGCTCTACAAACTGTATACTCATGGATTTTGTACACGCATGGAGTAGTAACAAAATCGGAAAATTGACTGAATTTTAGCTGTGCTACATAAAAAGGCTCATAATTATCATAGCTAAGCTGCAAAATATTGTTCTAATTAATAGTACTCGTGAAGGCAGAGGAGAGGAACCAGTGAATAACCTGGTCTAGGAGGAAGACAATCCAGGAGCGGGACAGCGTCGCCGGCCGCGGCACGGCAGTGTAGAACGCGGATACCAGGGAGTAGGCCGCGCACAGCCCGTTGGCATAAACCAGGTACCTTCGATTTTGTGCCAAAAAACCACAGGGAGATGAATTGGTGAGGGAGCACGGCAAAGAGGGGAAATTACGGGGCTAATGAACTCCAGGGACGGAGGAGTCAAGATGCGAGGGAGCAACGTACTTGAATCCGCCGAGGTCGGAGTAGGAGACGGTGCCGTACTCGTTGGTCTGCGTGTCACGGAGCATAACGGCCATGGCGGCGACGCAGAGCCCCAGAGGCGCGGCGCGCAGCAGCGTCTCCAACGGACGGACCCGCGCCTCCGCGGCTGACAGGTCCCCTGCGATCAGCCCGTCCTCCCCTCCGCCGGTCGCCGGCGCCGAAATCACCTTCTCGTCCGCCATCTTCGACATCTCGACCAGCAGTCAGGGGCCAAAAACCAGCGTCGACGAAGAAAATAGCTCAACTTCCTCTCACTCCCGGTCCCGGTCCCTCTCCTCTGCTTGCTTGCTTGAAGGAAAGGGGATCGGGACGAGGGGAGGCGCGCATTTAAGGCGTGGAGCTGGGGAGGTTAGTTGGAGCGCAGCGGGGTGGCTTGAATGCGCGCAGTTAATGGCGCGGTGGCAGAGACGAGTCGAGTCGAGTCGACTGATCGGCAGCTGCGTGTTGCGTCGCGTTTCCGAATTCGCGCTACTCCCTCTACGCTCGCGGCGGCCGCGTGTGCCACATGCGTCGCGCGACCGGCACTCTTATCCAATGGTACTCCCACACGCATGGGCTGTTCAAAACATGTGATTTTTGTATTACTCCAAACATGTGATACTGTACAATTCAAATTTGAAGAAAAGTTTAAGAAGCAAAAATATAGACAAATCTAATATTGACATGAATATGTATATTAAGACAAATCCTTGGGACGTGGAGTATTTGCTCACGAGCTCAAAATACTTCTTGATGAACAGTAAAATTAAAAAAATAGTAAACAAATTTTGAATTTTTTATGCTAAACTTTGACAAATGTTTTGCATGCTTTTGCAAAATTTCAGCACGAATTGCCATTCGTGGCAAAGAACAAAACCGATGTTCCAGAAATGCTTAGTTTCAAAAACATTTTAGAGTGCTGATTTTTTTGCTACCCTTCCACGAATGTCATTTCATGCTGAAATTTGACAAGCATACAAAACATTTGTCAAAGATTACCAAAAAAATCATTTTTTTTGATTTTTTTACTATTTTATTTTATTTTACTTTTCATCGGGGAGCATTTGAATTAAGTATTTCTCGTGATCATAATAGGACTTTCGAAAATCCATGGCCCAATTTGATTTAAGTATTGAATTCCCCTTTTGTTTCTCGAGTTGTACATAAAATGGGTTAAACTTGAATTTAAAGTCTTGCAAGATACTTCTCCGTCCCACGATATAAGACGTTTTTGCAAGCTTAGGGAGTACAAGATACAAAACTGAATTGGAAGTGTAATTCGTTTTCGAAACTGATGTGCACATGAAATAGTGTGCACGACCATGGCACGATAGCCCTGTGGCAACCCGTTTGAGTACAATGAATTGCCATTGTATTCAGATGGGCGGTCGCACATGCTAGCCTAGAAAATCAATCTGGCGCGTGTTTTTACAATTCACGGGTAACAGTGTACAAACTATCAGATAAAAGAGTGCTTTATTGATCTACACAACTTTACAACATCGACTTATAAGGCTCCACGTCTCAACAATGCATGCGTTGAGGTCGGAACGGTCAAATTAGTCGTAGTGACTATTTCATATATAAGTGCAGCGGAAACTCTATCTATGGTAGCATGGTCCTAGCACGGCTTCACTCCACCGAGATCTGACTGGGTTACTCTTCTAGTGTTGCGTCAACTCCCTCTCCTTACTTGTGGGGAACATCTTCATACCTGGCCACGTTAAAAGCCATGAGTACATTGAATGAACTCGCAAGCCAAAACCTCATAAAACCACCCAAGAAACACTCCAATTATTCAAGCATGAAATTGCTCCAATACTATCAATCATCCACAACAACTTGACACGAACTACTATCAAGTTTAACTGTTGAAGTAAAAGCAGTACTACGACTATACAACTTAACTAGTAAATAATTGTCTCAACTATGATAAGCTTAAATTCAATCCCCAAACGTGATCACTACTAGACTAAAGTTTGTCCACCGATTTGATCATTCTATGCTCTGATTACCATCTTAAGGTGATCACTACTAGGCTAAAGTCGTTTCCAAAAGGGTGATCACTTAGTCTAAAGTTATTCCTCCAATACTTCCAGTTTTATTACTACTAGGATTTACTTTGTTATCTTACCAAGCATCTTCAACTTTGAACTTACTAGCTCAAAACTATACTCCCAAACTATGACCACTTCTAAGCTAAAGCCTTTCCACCAAATGTGATCCATACTATGGCTAAGTAAAGATCTAAAAGCATAATAATGCAACAACAATAAGAAAAACAACGTAAACAACAATCATTCATGGTGGCGGCGGAGGAAGGCAACGCTATTGCTGCAAGAGCAGTCGGTTGACCAGGCGGTATGAGGCGACAATGGTTTTGAAGGAGCCCGACAACGTACGTGCACGACATGGAGCAGATGTCGGCCAGCGGATGTACAAAAACGATGGTGATGGTGGGCAGTGGCCATGGTGGCCCAGGGGGCTGAGGCATGCATGGGCAAGGTCGGGTTGCGTTGGGGAAGAAAGGGGAAGGGAGTGGCGGCAGACGGTGGCAAAGGTCAGCTGGCGGTGGCGGGGACTCGTTGGCCGGATAAAGGCGCTAGCGCATGATCGGAAGAGAAGGGAGGAGGTGCACTAGGTTAGGGTAGGGCTAGTCGGCCAGCTAGGTTGTTATATAAGGGTTAGGTTGGCCGCTGGGATGGGACAACTGATCGACATTGCCAGGTATGTTGTGCTCGACACTAGCAAGTTATCCATCTCTCATGGGGTAGCCCAACTGAATTAAATGGGTTTTAACTAAAAATGGTTAGCCAGCTTGTGATAAAATCATGACATAATTTGTGTAGTTCCCAAATTCTATATACTTAAGAGAGTGATCCCTACTAACTTATTTATCTCAACATGAGCATGCTACATGACCATAAATTATGAATGGGGTGCAAGCATGCTACATCACCATAAAATTGTGAATGGCGTAAAGTCCACCTCAATATGCAACCATGCATGGAAAAAGACCCATCCACCACATGCAACCATGCATGGTAAATATTTTTCATTCCATTATTCTACTTTATATTCAATAAATATTTTACAACTATGCATAATAAAAATATAGTAAGTCATATGTTTTTTAAATCATGTGCTATTAATCTAAATATGTATATTTCACACAAATGTAATTAAAATATATTGCAATCGAGTCCCGCATCAACATGCGGATAAGGCCCACCTCTATATGCAATCGTGCATGGAAAAAGACCCACCACAACATTCAACCATGCAAGGGAAAATGTTTTTCATTCAGTTATTCTACTTATATTCAATAAATATAGTTACAACTATACATAATCAAATTTAATAAGTCAGATGATTTTATGTTTTGGATGCCAACCCAAATTTAAATCAACCAATTTCCGCTAGAACGCGCCTGATATCCTCTAGTATTATAGAAGTCTATGGCAAAGTTTCAAGTGAAGACTAGAGGTAGAACATCAAAAAGGAAATAACCTAGTAAATTACTAATGAATAGTAGAATAGTAAAATATCTTAGGGTTTAGGGTTTAAATCAAATCAAATTTGAATTCTTTTAAACCGTAAAATTTGGGGGGGGGGGGTCCACATTTTAATAATTGGCTCTACCTAGATTATCTCGGGTTTGAAAATGTATTTTGGCCATTTTACATTAATTTTAGCATTTTCCCTTTAGTAATTTTTTGAGGGTTGATTAAATATTCATTTCCAAATTAAATTAAATGATGCTCATGAAATTCTTATGTGATGATCATGATGCACAATCAATTTCTAAGGAAAGTGCTAATCTTGGGCTATTACAATGTATTGCGTGGACATGGTCCTAATTATGTGGCTAGGCCCTCATCATTATATACTATGCCTATGTGCGGCTTTGTGATGATGGATCGACAGGTGACAGGTGGTGATAGTACATGGTGATGTTGCTAGGTTGTGCTCTTTGTGTGCATGAGATTGAGGTTGAGGGGTTAAAACTCTAAATACGACATTCATTAGTTAGACCTGATAATAGTGTCATTCACGCGACGTTTCTCTGTTGAAGACATTGCATAAAGTTTATCCAAACTGATCTCGAAGATGAAAACTCATGGTCTGGCCTTAGTTATCGGGTCGAGCTACAACAGCTAGCGCTTGTATGGCATTCCCTTCCTGGTGTCATCGTTGTTGGAGCATCTATTATATTACCCGTGGTTGCCATCGTTGATGCATGTTAGTGTTGTTTGTTGGAATTGTATGTTGGCCTTTTTTATGTACTTTAGCTGGGTGCATCCGCAATGCTACTTGATGATGGCGTAGTATATTCCTTCTGTTGGAAAAACGACAGGGCGTTCACTCGGTGCCGTTAGTTCAAATGGTTTCATCCTCAGTTGTATAACTGGGAAGGAGAAAAATAGACGCTGCATCAAACTGGAGCGGCAATCCACTGCGACGCCAAACAGTGGAAATTTCACGGCACAACAAAGTGATACGACGCAGGGACTCCTCTCTTCTTCGTCAACAAAATACCATTCCCTCTATAAAAAATAATCTTATATTTTAGGACGAAGAAAATATTATATATAGGTGTGGTTAGACCTCAGTCGATTGGGACTTAACAAATGACACAACATATTAATAAAATAAAAAAATAAAAAAAATATGAATCTTATGAATCTTGTTCGCAAAAAAAATATATGAATCTTCACGTATGATCTTACAAATATACTATACTAGTATCTACCGCTTAAGTCACAGTCTACTGAAATTTAGCAATGCCGATTGTTTATAGCATGTGCTAGCGGCACGTCTCCGTCCGTATCCAGGCCCTCGGCCGCACGCTTAGTACCAGTAACACTTGTTTAATGGTTGTATAGTGCTACTCCCTAGATCGGACCATCGAGAAAGTGATGCCCATAAATGGAATTTATTCTCTGCGACAGTTCTCGAGCCTAACAATAGCGGCTGATTTATGAGGCAGCTGCACCACGTTCGTGTACCGGGAGAGAGGGCTGCATATCAGTGCATGGAAAGCAAGCAGCAACGAAGACTAAGAGACTAAGGCTTGTTTGATTTCAAATAAGTCATCAACTTATATGTTGAAAAGTGAAAAAAATGATTTATTTTGTTAAACGGACCCAATTTATAAATCATCCCAACTTATAAGTCATACTAAGTTGTTCCACCCTAACTTAAAACTTAT